CAGAAGAACATCTTATTGACATCCAAGCCGACTAAAATAAATCAAGTATGAGCCTCTGCATAAAAGACCATAGATTAAGTAACTAGTTCAACTTTTACTCTTGATTTCTTTTCTATCATTTAGCAGAAATGCATAGTGGAAAATCTTTGTCAAGGTACCTCTCAAAGCACAAAATCATCAATGATGATGGAAACCTAACACTGCTAACAAAATCTTACCTTGCACTTGCAAAGTAAGCTCAATGAAATTCCCCTTAAATGATGATATGAGCTCTTGATATATAAGTTGTGTTTGGTATATTGTTGAGAATATAATTACTAGTAATGTAATTGTTGGGTATATGATTACTGAAAATATGATTACTGAAAATATAATTTTGCAGCGTTTAATATAATAAGGGAAAGTAATGATTGCATGGATTTCCCACAAACCACTCCAATAAAGAATACCTGCAACATTTCAATAGATATTGCACCCTTAATATATAAAGCAATTCAAATCATAGCCTAACATTTTCAAATGGGACAAAAAAATATTCAGGACAGAATTCCATGGTTGGTGTACTTTTACATAAACGTGTATGCAACAATTTATTGCAAACAGGGCAGCAAAAGTTGGCCAGGACTAGGTATCAGCAGCATTTCTTTTAGCACAGAAACAACAAGAATAATTAAAGCTTATGATTAATGGTGACTGCCCCGGAAAACAGGATCTAATTTGAAAGGCAAGAAGATGAGTGGGTAAAGGTTGGAATGAGGTAAAAGACGGTCAAGCAGGTTGCTGTTCCAGGTTAAAAACTCTTCCTGTCATTAAAAACTGACTCGGTGTGAAACTAAGAAGAATATTGGTTGCTAATAGATAATAAAAATCATGTGATGGGACCATAATTTGATAATAACCCTCTAATTCACGGATGAATAGATGGATATGAGTGGCTTCTAAGGTTGTCTTCAGGGCAGATAACAGCAAGGTTGAGACGAAAGTGGATAGCCCATTAAAGTACTTATGCCTTTCCAAGAAATCACACTACACATGAACATTTGTGCAAAAATAAACATATGATAAATTGTGATTCAGCCTCGTAGTGAGAAAAACCAAAAAACAATATGGTTCTTCTTTTGCAAGTAAGTATCCAATGCTTGTTTAAATTGAGCCAAAAAAAAAAATTGACATTGAAATAATGAATAATCAACAAACTATATCACCCATAAAAAGAAACATATATTTGTAATTTTTGTAAAAATTTTGATTTTTTCACTTTTTTGTGGTTTGATTGCATCAAATGGTAAAGAAACTGAACGAGATATCAGAACAACAAATGATTTCAATTGATTTATTTTAGTAACTTTTGTGAAAGTTTTGATTTCTTTCTTCTTTGTAGTTTGATTGCATCAAATGGGAAGGAAACTGAATATTTTCACATTCCTGAAAACACCTATTTCTTTGTTCTTTTAAGGTTGACTTCATATTATTTATTCAGTGAGATTAACAGAACAACAGATGATTTTATATTTTCACACAAAACAATTAGTCATACCTCAACATTTTTAATCTCCATGGTTCCATCAATAATCTTTACTAGCAATTCATGATTCATTTGAGGTGGCTCAGAAATATCATCAATTGTTTTTTGGCACAACAAACCCTCTAATTGTCGTGTTGCAACTATCATTAGTGTTAGTGATAAGGAATTATGACTGAAAATAATTATAATAGAAAGTATCTATTATTTTTACGAGTGAGAATTCATTTATTATAATTAAAATTATATTTTTTTGACATTGCACTCACGATTAAAAGTAATAATTACAATCAAATACACACAAATTGTAATACTAATCAGACTGTAAACACACAATAACAAACGGTGTTGATTCAAACATCAATCATTTTGGATTGTAAACATCCGTTTATTTAAAGATAGCAAAAAGATGCATATAATAAACTAAAAATGAATTAACAAGGGTGACGACAAATGCAAGTATCATCGGGTGTATTGATGGTGTAGCAAAATCCATGAGCATCTTGCCCATATTTCATCCTGCAACCGTTGAAGCATTCATCTATTGCGCAACCTCCTCCATGGCCAAGTACATCACAACTGCCAATAGCATTTGCCAGCATTGGCTCATTGCCTGTGCCAAATAATTTATATATAAATGGATCAAAGCCTTACATGGTGAAAATATTTATATATAAATTTAAATTTTTCAAAAACCCATTTTTTGACTATTGACAGAAGATATTCCCTAGAAAAGATACAAACATACTTTAAATATTTATGGCAAAAACATAAACAAAGAATCAGGTTAAGCATATTATAGGGTTTTGCTTCAAGTTAAACCTAACTGGGTTTTTCTCTAAATATCTTAGTTCAAACATATATAGGACAAAAAAAAAACAAAATAATAATAAGCTTTTAAAATAAGAATTACCAGCAGAAAGGCAGAGAACCAGAAGGAAAATGGCAGAAAATGATAGGCTTTTCATGACTTAATTCTATTTAGAATATGCTAGGAGTATTAAGAGAGAGTGTCTGAGGAATGAGGTTGGCATGATAGTATGCTTAAGTGGGAGTATTTATAGGCAAAATCTTGAGAGAAAGAATTTCTACACAACCTTCTTTGGTTCAGTCTATGGTGTTTGGGTTGGATTGTTTTACCTCACTTTAATTATAGAGAAAGTATATCGAAAAGGGTTGGAAATTGAGGAAAGAATTTACTCGCAGATTTTCTTGACCATCGTGAAATCTGCCCAAATCATTGCTCAGTTGCTAATCATAAATATCATATATAGTCAAACTTTCTGGAACTTTCCTTGAAAGTTTTACCCCTTGTTAAAGATTCAGTCGTTCACGTGTTAATTAAAATAATTATAAGCTTAAACAACTCGAATTTGATCCAAAATCACCAGGAAATTTCTCTCAATTTGTTTTATTATATTAAATCCCCATTTTCTTAAATGTTTTTCCTTCATTCACGTTTAGTTGAGATGTCCATTCAATGGATGGAAAGAAACATATCATGCATTAAATACACAGGCCATTGTTGGTATTAAAAATCATTTTTTTAAAAAAAAGTAATATTAAGTAAATATTCTTATTAATTACGTCAACTGGACAAGTGAAGAAAGAAGGAAAACAATTTTAATTTTAATTTATTTTAACTTTCGTTCGATACTTTCTTACTAATATTTTTTAATACATCTTTAATCACCATTTATTAATAATATGAACAATGACAGTAAGGAAAGGGCTAGAAAAGTAACGAAAAGGAACCAAACCTACTACCCACGAGCGGACAAAAAAACCTAGTACAGGTTAAAGGCAAATGCTATTACCCAGGCAGGAGCAGACAAATACCCTGGTGAACGCTATAATAAGTGTAACTTCATTATAAAATTAATTAATAAAATTTGTATAACAAATTAATAGGTAAGCAACATATCTAATTATTAAAGTTATCCATTTTAGGAAAATAAAGTAGATAATTTTTAACCTTGTTTACTTTATTTTAAAAGTTATTTAACTTTTAATTTTATTTTATTTGTTACTTTAACTTATAAGAATATTATTCTTTTTAATATCAAAATTATATTCAATTAATTAATTTAATAAAAATTATTATTATTACTTGTTAAGTTAACTCTCATATATTTACATTAAGATTTTAAATTTACTTATTCCACTTTTATAAAATTTTACATCAATTCTTACAAATTTTACATCAAACTTTTACCTATAATTATTTTTTTTATTATTAATTTTATTTAAAAATTTAAATTTGTATATCGTTAAATACTTTTAATTCTAAAATATAAATTTAAATATTTACTTTTCACTAAAATTAAATTTTTACTAAAATTAAAATTTTTACTTAATTAACTTGTTAAGTTAACTTTCACATATTTACTTTAAAATTTAAAATTTAATTATTCCACCTTTATAAATTTTTACGTCAATTGTTATAATTTTACATTAAAATTTATCTATATTAATTTTGAACTATAATTATTTTTATTATTATTTAAAAATTAAAAGTTATATATCGTTACATACTTTTAAGTCAAGAATTTAAATTTATATTTTTTCATTAAAATTATATTTTTTTCTTAATTAACTTATTATATTAACTATCACATATTTATGTTAAGATCTTAAATTTAATTATTCTACCTTTATAAATTTTTATGTTAAATCTTATTGCTTTACATTAAAAATTTTTAATCATAATTTTTAAAAACTTTACATCTAAGTTTTTTAATGGTAATTTTAAATTTACATGTGTTTTTATTTTTATTATTATACATTGTTAATTTTGACTTTTTGATTTATTATACTGATAACCCTATTTATAACATCAAATTTCAACCATTGAATAAAAACAATGCAAATAAATAGTTTCTACTAATAAGATATAAAAGGAATCTATAAAAAAAAAATTTTTGTTCACCGGTTGAATTTGTTTATCAATTTTTTAAAATTTTTAAATCAATAATTATAATTTAATCTCATAAATCAAATAATCTTTATTAAAAAATTTTACAATAAAGTCAAAAATACGACCTTACTACAAAATTTGCCAAAAAACGTGATCTATAACATATTTAAAGAAAACCCCAATGGGGCTTCCAGAGTTGACTACGTGGATGGCCGAGAAAGTGAAACAGAAAAGGTGTAAGGGGTGCAAAGAGGTCAGAATTTACCATGTGAAGAGCAACTAGAGAGAAAGAGAAGACGCTGAAGCAAAGAGAGTGGGTGCAAAGAGCCCCGTGTATCACTCACGGGTCAGACTCCAGTCCATGTTAAAAGCAAATGCTAGAGTTAACCCTTTTACAATATTTATGACCCTTAGACAATGTCTTACCTGAACTTTCCACATCACTGCAACGGAGATCTGATCCTGGAGTACCAAAACTTATTCTCAGTGATTAATATCTTCAACGTGAACATAGAAACGTTTCAGATCGAAGTCTGTGATCCGTAACTAACCTTCCAAATGTGAACATAAAAACTTTTCAAGTCCCATTTTTTGTACATCTTACTGTGGAAATCATTTATCATAATCATATTACTAGGCATTCTACATGACTGATTTATGCCATGAAAGTTACACTAGTACAGAAGCTACATAACAGAAACATTTCTCCACAGATGTTGCCAAGATGTATCTTGTACAAGGGTCCGATCCAGGTAATATCTCTACCAATGATTTCCTGAGAATTTGGACCGTAGACGATTTTATTAAGTATATGCAACATTAACTTTTAAGCTTACCAAGTGATAGACAGGCTGCAACATGATCACTTATCAGAGGCCTCATCAGACTGAAGTTCTAAGCGCATCTGTTCCAAGAGTAACTTTTCAACAGCATCCACAAAGGTTGACAAATTTTGTCGAATGTGCATATCCAAGGAATTTGCCATTTCCTAATGAATTAAATTAAGAAAAAAAAAAGAAACTGGATAAATAGGGAAGTCATCAAGTTCATAAGAGCAAAAACACAAAGATGAGAGCCAAAAAATCCCTTCTCATCCTGAGATAATTGGAATTTTCACCATTCAAAACAATTTCTTTAGGACCTGAACAAGTTAGAAAGGAAAGAATCTACGATCACAAGACCAACTCATCGACATCCAAGCTGACAAATAAATCAAGCATGAGCCTCTGCATAAAAGACCATAGATTAAGTAACTAATTCAACTTTTACTTTTGATTTCTTCTCTATCATTTAACATAATGGATAGTGGAAAATCTTTGTCAAGGTACCTATCAAAGCCACTAAATCATCAATGATGGAGAACCAACAGTCCTAAGCGTAATCAAAATCCTGAGCTGAACCTCCTTTCTCATGCCAAATAACAAACTAGGTTTCTTCCTTTATAGCTTCAAGGTTGTTTACCCTCTCTATCACACATTCTGTACGAATCTATGAGAAACCACAATGGTCCAATTTTCTATTTTGAGAAAATCTAGGCATCCACTTGTCTGTTTCCCCACATGAAACTAGGAACAGAGAGATAACTAGCATAACAATAAGAAACAACTCAAGTCAACTAAGCCTTAGTCCCAAACAAATTGGAGTTGCTACATGTTTCTGTTTACACCATTCTGTTCAGCTAAGGGCTACAACCTCTGAAAAGGCAAAGAAAACAGAAATTAATGAAAAATGTATTTAAGTTAAACTCAGGTTTTAACTTAGGGAATGTTTCAAGGAGACAAAAGTTCTGAAGGCACTGTAATGTTCCTGGCGCACTTAAAGGTCAAAAAAAACTATAATAAATATAAAATAAAAATGCCACTTACCTCAGCCTTGCAAAGTAAGCTCAATGAAATTCCCCTTGAATGATGATCTGAGCTCTTGATGGATAACAATTTCAATGGAGATTTTGATAGCGGCCAACCTTGAGGCAGCTTTATGAATGCATCAATTCCCCCAACCAAGTGAGCTACAATTGTCTCATCTCTCTCTAAGTACTCAAACGAATGTCTGCATCAGGTACTATGCAAGTGTAAAAAAGCTTCCAATTTTGCAATTTTCTTTCTTCTTCCCCATTTTGGTGGGTGAATAGAAATTAAAATTTTATATGATAAAGTGCAAAACTGATCAGCTTCTTTAAACCTCTTACCTTGATTTATTTGTGCTCTTCACTATAAGTCGTCTCAAAGTACTTAAGATAATCCTGTCCTGAACTTTTCCCACAAACCACTCCAATGAAGACCGTGTCTCCTGCACCATTAAGTTCGAGGATAGCTGCCTGCAACATTTCAGTAGATAAATGCCCCCTCAATAAGGTAATTCAAATCATAGCCTAACGTTTTCAAATGGGACAAAAAGTTGATTCAGGACAGAACTACATGGTTGGTGGATTAAGGCATAAGAAAAATTTACCTTTACATAAATGTGTATACAACAATTACTGCAAACAGCTCAGCAAAAGTTGGCCGCTACTAGATATTAGCAGCATTACTTTTACCGCACAAATAACAAGAGTAATTAAAGCTTATGATTGATGGTGACTGCCCCGGAAAACAGGATCTACTATGAAGGGCAAGAAGATGAGTGGTTAAAGGTTGAAATGAGCTAAAAGAAGGTCAAGCAGGTTGTTGTTCCAGGATCAAAACTCTTCCTGTCAATAAAAACTCTGACTCAAAGTCTGAAAGAAGAATATTGGTTGCTAATAGATAAATCATGTGACGGGACCATAATTTGATAATAACCCTCTACTTGATGGTTGAATAGATGGATATGAGAGGGTTGTAAGGTTGTTTTAAGGGCAGATAGCAGTGAGGTTGAGATGCAGGTAACTTTCATTTAGGAAAGTAAAACATTAAGAATTGAAAGAAAAAGAGGAAAGTGGATAGTCCACATGCACACTTATGCAAAAATAAACATATGATAAATTGTAATTCAACCTTAAATTACAAAACTGGAAAACAAACCTGAAGGACTTTGTAGCATCAATGATATCGCCTAAGTAAACATCATTTGGGAACATCTGGACAACATGAACAAGCATTTGAAAACAATTGAAGAATAAAAACACATATAGAACCAATATGGTTCTTCTTATGTAAAGTAAGTATTTGTTTTTCAATGCCTGTTTATCTTGAGCCAACAAAAAAAAAGAATTGACAGTGAAATAATGAAAAATCAACAAACTATCACCTATAAAAAGAAATACATTTTAGTAACTTTTGTGAAAATGTTGGTTCTTTTCCCTTTTTCGTAGTTTGATTGCATCAAATGGGAGGAAACTGAATCTTTTTGCATTCTTAAAACCACTTTTTTTTCCTTTTCAGTTGACTTCACATTATTTATTCAGTGAGATTACTTATTTGTCAAGTATGGCCTATGTATCCTTTGAATGTCAAAAGATTAAATTCCTTCTCCATGACAACAGAGATGCAGAAAAGAGCAGACCAATAGGTGATTTCAATTTTTTTCACAGAAAACAATTAGTCATACCTCAACATTCTTAATCTCCATGGTTCCATCCATAATCTCTACTAGCAATTCATGATTCATTTCAGATGGCTCAGAAATATCTTCAATTGTTTTTTGGCACAACAGACCCTCTAATTTTGGAATATACGTCTGTAATGACAACCTAATGCAGTTTCCATCAAACCCAATGACTTTCAAACCTGTCAATGCCTCTTCAATCTGTTCTAAGGCATCTAATCTGAAAATAAGAACAAAAAAGAACTTAGTGGGAGAAAGTTAAATAATATAGAACACATATAACTGAAGCAAAAATAATTGAACTACCTTTTGAACATCGAATCAAGATCCTGCAAAGACTTCAAAATCATATTGTTCTTCTCAATCTGACTTTCTAGTTCCATAATCTGAAAGACATATAAAGAATAACATTTGATGATTAATGAAGTAAAATGTATAGTGCCATTTACTACTCAAAAAATTTTACATAGTTTAGCATACAGGTATAATTAATACCCTAATTGAAGATATCAAACATCTAAATCATTATGAAAAGTTGAGAACTTAGGTAGTCATCAAAGATAAGAATTCTTACAAAGATGCTTACAGAGTCAAAAAATCTATTGGTACAAGTATTAAAAGTTCAGCCATCAGTTTAAATCCAAAGCAGCATTAAAGAAGCAAGCAAGAAAAAATAAAAGAACCTCAAACTTTTGCTCTTCATTTGAATCCATCAGATTCAGTTGATCTTCATCATTCATAGAAGAGTCAAGGCATGGGTCCTCTTCTACTCTCTCCATTCCCTACAACATAGAAGAAAATAAAAGGCTAACTGTTAAAATAAGATTTCCAAATTAATATCAAACTGCATGCCTTTAAACCCTTCAAGACTGCTTCACATAATGAAACAACATAGGAGAATCAACCTGAGATGCAATAGAATCCAATGCACATTTCAACCCTTCAAGATTGCCTTCTAGTATATTTGATTCTGTAAAGATACAAAGAAGTCAAAGGGAAATCAGCATGAAAAAAAGAAAAAGAAAAAGAAATAGAACATGTATGTATAGTTGCATGAGAAAATCAATCCTATGTCAATGCAGCCTCACCTTCAATATGGTTTCTTGAAAGATCCTCAATTTCATTAGAAATCTTGGCACTTTCAGCCTCCACTTGATTAAGCTCCTCTTTCAAGTGTTTTAGGTATTCATCTGCATGAATAAAAAGGCACCAATCTAGAATCACTATAACAACTTCTTATAATTCTTATCTTTTCCTATGATGTTGCTTTTCACGTCAATTTTTTATTTCAATTTTCTAAATGCACCATTTCATTAATAACACATTAAACATGCTATCAGACAATGCATCATAAACTTAAAACCAGTGCCAAATCATCCCAATTCTGTTCCGTAGCAGAAGCCTCATTATTATCTGAAGACTTTTAAATCGCATACAAATCCAGATTTTTGGTAACAAAAAAAATTCCAACTTTGTTACTAAACCTCAGTAACCATAACACCGATACAAACGCTATAGCAAGCCAAACACATAGTTAATACAATAACCTTTTAAACCCAGAATTCAATTACCAAAAAAAAACGAAATATATTAACACAAGGGTTGGGTATTTTCTTTATGTTCAATTGTACAGGTATATATGCAATTTATTTAACAAAATTAACCAAAAAAAAGTAAACATACCCAAATCTTCAATGCCTAAAAAACCCACATCAGAATACTCTTCAATAATTTGCTTCACTTTGCTCTGCATAATCCCACTCTTAAATTATACAAAAAAAAAACACCTGAAATTGTAACAAAATATGTAAAAGAAATGGAGAATCACCTCAAAATGAAGACTGCAATCTTTGAGCAACTTCTCGGAGTCCAAAGAGAGAGCTTCACTCTCATCCTCATTTTTATCAACACGATGAATCTCCGAAAGCTCATTTATTCGGCTAAAGAGAAAAAAGAGCTTAAAAAACAATTCAAAAATGAAAATTATTCATACCAAATTACTTCACAGTACGAAAATAAACAGACACCTGCGAATAGAGTGAAGATCGAGGGCTTCTGATGAAGAAGAGATCTCCATTGGCTCTGCCATTTTCTTTTTCAATTTTCTTCACGGAAATGTTTTTCTTTTTGGTGTAATCTAATCTCCCGCCTGTTTACTGGCAGCGACTGAAATGGTAAACATTGAAAAAGGGCAGTGAGGATATTTATTTGTTCGGGCCGGAAATGGTGGCGTTGGGCCCACTTTGCAATAAAAAGTAGGCCCTGTTTGCACGTGGACACTCGACATTGCAAAAATTGTTCATAAGTTGTATCTTGTTTTGAACAAGGAAAAATAAAAAGTTCAAATTTTTGAAACCCCTTTTATTTTCTCCTTTTAAAGTTTTGATTTTTTTATTCTTACTTTCATGGACTTATCCGGTTTACAGACGATGGGAAAGTCGAACCGGTATAGGTAACTGTCCTAATCCCGGAAAAATATTAAAATGACAATTATCGGTAGTTTCCAAGCTGGTGGCAACTTTGTCCACACTCCACTTGCTCTCTCCCTCTGCGTTTTTATCAATCGTCTAATTCATTCTCTTTCTCTCTCAGTAAAGAGTGAGGATGATGGTCTCGGAAAAGAGAGCTTTCGTTCAGCTTCTTTCCTTGTATCTCTTCATCCAATTCTCGGCCACCGCTGCTAATTTCTTCGAACCATTCAACGTGACATACGACCACAGAGCTCTGATCATCGATGGCAAACGCCGCATGCTCATCTCAGCTGGAATTCACTACCCTCGTGCCACTCCTCAGGTACCCTTTTCTCCCCTTTAATCATCTTCAACTCTTAAAACGATGGTTTTTATTTCAAGTTTTTGACTTTATTTATGTGTTCCCAACTTGGGATATTAAAAAAAAAAAAACTGAAATAGAATGGGAGAGTGATCGAGTGCAATGATATATTCCGAACGTGAGACTACTTAGTTGGAAGTTCAAGTTGTAACTATTTTTTGAACTAGAGGTTTGAATATTTAGGTTTAAAAAGCTTAGTTTTTGGATAAGCTCAAGCCTCTTAGGCATGCTTAATTTTGCATCTTGGAATTCTTTCCTCAAGAAGCAAGAAACTCTACGTTTGTTTAATAGATTACTGGTGCTATTTTTATACAGTAAAGGCAAATTAACCCGTAAGTGAACGTTTTACTGTTTTATGTCTATTATATTTTCCACCATTATCATTTATTGTTGTTAGATTGCCTTCCTTACACTTGTAGCATAATGTTATCAGATGTGGCCTGACCTGATTGCAAAAAGCAAGGAAGGTGGAGCTGATGTGATTGAAAGTTATACATTCTGGAATGGGCATGAACCCGTTAGAGGACAGGTGTGTGTAAACTCTTTTGCCGCTACTCTATGGTAGTAACTTGGATGATTAACATTAATAGGCTTATTTCTTTTCACTAAAATATTAATCTTTCCTCTGAGCTGCTTGTTCAGTATAATTTTGAAGGAAGGTTTGATCTTGTCAAGTTTGTGAAGCTAGTGGGAGACAGTGGACTTTATTTCCTTCTTCGCATAGGTCCTTATGTTTGTGCTGAGTGGAATTTCGGGTCAGACTTTTCTTTCCTATTTTAATTTCTCAAATTATTCTCTATTTTTTGCAACTATGCATTCATTATCATGCTGCTGGATTGAAAAACTTTTTAACACCAAAATTTTAGTTCTGAATGAAGCCAATCGTATTACTTACAAAAATTTGTTTTCCTTTTATTTCCTTCTTATTGTGGCTAATGATCTTACAGGGGATTTCCAGTCTGGCTGCGTGATGTCCCTGGCATAGAATTTCGAACAGACAATGAACCTTTTAAGGTATGGGTTTCCTATGAGTACAACATATAGAACATTGTTTGTTGCTTCTGCTGATGATTCTAAAATACGAAACTTTTCTATATGTTATAATTCTAAAATTGAATTATTTTAGGTTACTTTTAGCATGTAACACCTAAAAGGCATAGAAATTTCTTATCAACTTAGAATCTTTCCCATGCAATTTAGGTGTTTCTAATGCTAGTTCTTACATAAATATGATTAATGAGAGGCATGCTAAAAACACGTATTCAAACATTGTTTGTCACAAATAATTGATCAATGTCAGCAGCGGTTTTGCATAATGCACTGTTAGCTTGTGGTAGACTCTGCCTTAAACTGAAGACACTTTGATTGTTTTTCCAGATTTTTTCACCTTGAAAAGTCCTTTAGGTTTAATGTGCACGCATGTATTCTATAAAATACTAGTTTTGATGACATTTGATCTACAACTCAATTTTCATGATGGGTCACTTTCGCAACACTTGTGCTAGCAGATTAATAGTCACCAAATTGCTTGGTTTCTCATACTCTCTTCTTTTATCTATTTATTTTATTTATCTTCATGTGTTTGAGTGGTGGCATGTTTGTAACCTTTGACTACTATTAATACCAATTTATCCTTTCTAAGTTTCCTTTTAAGTTTGACTTAATATATATACGTTAGTGAGTTCTTGTTGCAATCTTGGTCAAATATTGCTAGAATTCATGGTTTAGAATTATTTTTGGAGGTTGACAAGTAAACTTCTTAAAATTTGGTCATCTATTGCTTGCTGATTGTTGAGATTTAAATTTGTATCACCGTAACAGCTTTATTTCTTCTCTATCTTTATCTTTTCTGGTTTTTGTTTCTCCAGAGGGAGATGCAGCGCTTTGTAACAAAAATTGTGGATTTGCTGCGGGAGGAAAAGCTCTTTTCCTGGCAGGGTGGTCCTATAATTCTGTTGCAGGTTGTAATACAATCGAGAACCTCATTCTATACATTATATAAATTAGTTGTTTAGAGGTCAAATAAGGCCCTCAACTGTGAATGATTTTCCAAAAAATCCCTTTAATGCTAAGGCTAGTGTTATTCTTGTTCTCAAGACGATTTTACTCTTAGTAGAACTTATTATGTCGTGTGAAGGTCTTAAAGTTATTTATCAGTAAACAAAAATCACCCAAGGCCTTACAAATCTGACTATCAGCTATCAAGACAATTTTGCCCTTAGTAGAATTTATTAAATTATTTAAAAGACTTTAAAGTTATTTATCAGAAAACAAAAAAATACATATTCTAATTGGTATTAATCTCTTCTGATCGATTTGGTATCAGAGCCGTAGATATATGTAGTTGTATATGTTAATAAATCTTATACAAATTTTTTGGTGTTAACATGTGGTCAATTTTTATGCAGTATAGAAAGCTTAAACTTTACTTTGAGGGACTAAAATAGATTAAAACTAAATGTTACGGAGCAGAATAAATTGTGTGAACAGAAATGACAGTAATTCCATTTTTAAGGGACTAAATAATTCCCAACCATGGGTGTCTTAGCTCTTTCAGTGGGAATTTTACCCCTTGACAATCATGAAATTAAGTAGAGACTCTATGGTATGAAATCTATCATTTACAGACCTTGCATCCACTGATTTTGACCCTAAGTTATATTCTGAAGAACATCATCCAATCTAATGAACTAATGTTGATTCCGATTCTCTCTCAAATCCATGTGCATCCAAAGATTGGAACAAGAAAATGCTCTCTTTCACAAAGATTTCTATAACTTAGATAAAAAATTTTCAGATTGAGAATGAATATGGAAATATGGAGAGGTCATATGGCCAGAAGGGGAAAGATTATGTCAAGTGGGCTGCTAACATGGCTCTGGGTCTTCGTGCTGGGGTTCCATGGGTGATGTGCAAGCAAACTGATGCTCCGGGTGATATAGTAAGGTCCTTACCTTCTATTCTGTGGTTGTGACATTGAGTTTCTTTGAAATACTTCTGCATATTTAAGCATGGTGAAATCTATGAACAAACAACAAGTAGCTATTATTTTTGTTTTTCATGCCTTGCTTTGTTAAAAATTCTAATATGTTTACAATGCTAAGATTTGAATCATTAAGTTGTGTTTATTCTTTCTTTATCTTTTTTTTGTTTGTTTCCTGTTGCAGATAGATACCTGCAATGATTACTACTGTGATGGTTATAAACCAAATTCCCCTAACAAACCAACGATTTGGACAGAAAATTGGGATGGATGGTATGATCATGCCTGATGATTTTAGTTGTTTCATTTTAGTACTCACTGTAGTTCCTTTCTTCTTTTGTTGTGCTCTTGTTTCTTTTTCTTTTCTCTGTTTATCTTTTTATTTTCTTGGAAGAGGGGGGGGGGGGTGGGTTTGTGGCTGAGGCAAAGAAAATTTTATGCAGCACCTATAAAGGACATAATTTTGATTTCTCAGAACTAGAGGGGGTGGTGAATGCCATGTCCTTGTGGCTCAGGGAACTATCATTCATTTGCTTTATATTGGCGGTGTTTGAATTGGTGATAATTGCTACAATTACTCTGGCGTTCAGTATTTTAAAGTCCAAATTGGCTGATATTTTGATAGCATTTGTAATAAGTGGTGTCATCACATTAGTTAAGTTTAGGGTTTCTTGTGATCTTTTTGACAGGTAAGCTTCTCCACCCTTTGCCAATCAGTTTTAGGTTTGATGGTATAATGTCTGGGTTATTCGTTGCTTCATTTGTTCTTTGTGTATTTTTCTTGTTTCTGTATTCTGCATGATATATCCCTATGATTCAGTTGCTTTATGCAGCATAAACGTGAGGAAGAGTTTTAAGTTGTTTTTTTTGTGCATTGGTTAGATATGGGGTTTGTTCTGGACTTCTATTTATGTTGGGCCTATCTACCTATTGCAAGTGGTTTTAGGTTTGATGCTTTGACAAGTAGAATAGAATAACGATGCTTTTCAAGCTACTTTTTCCTAATACCTAATAAGTTGTATACATTTCTATGGGATATGCGATTAGGTTTCTGTAACATAATCAAAATTTTTTTCTTCTGACTTATTTGTGAAGCTTTCTCTCTTGTTAACTATCAGATTTTGCACTGCCATAAGTTATGAGCAATCGTTTCTTATTTTTACATTCATGTTTGAAGGTACACATCATGGGGTGGAAGATTGCCTCACAGACCTGTTGAAGATCTTGCATTTGCAATCGCACGTTTTTTTCAGCGTGGAGGGAGCTTGATGAACTATTATATGGTATGATAGTTAATAACTGAATATTGATTTAGATTGCTCCATATATGTAAAAAATTATATATTTTTGCTAAAATGATGTAGGAAAAATCTGAGCATTTGTAAGGCTGGGTAAGTGCTAGGGTTAGGTTTTACCAGAAGCAGCAATATTTTATGGTAAAGTGCATATCACATTATGAGGTTATCTGGTCCAATGCTACATTTTGACAAGCCTGGTGATGGTTGCAGTATTTTGGTGGGACAAACTTTGGTCGTACTTCTGGAGGGCCCTTCTATATAACTAGTTATGATTATGATGCTCCAATTGATGAATATGGTAGGTGAAACAGGAAAAACACAGAAATTATTAATTGGTAAATCTTGGTGATTGAAGCTTAAGTACTTGCTCATAAATCTAAGATCAAATATAACTGGAACATTATGGTCCAAAACTAAAAGATGCCTTTTGTCATTTAGGTTTGCTGAGTGAGCCGAAATGGGGACACTTGAAAGATCTTCATGCCGCCATTAGGCTCTGTGAACCTGCTCTAGTTGCTGCTGATTCACCTCAGTATATGAAATTGGGACCAAAGCAGGAGGTTTGTGCTAAGAGGGGGTTTTTTTTTTCTATTTAACTTCTTGCTCCACTGTCCTGTATCAATTAAATATTGGATTAAATAGTTCATTCTAGGTTGATGTGTCCATCTGGACTTTATATTCTAAGAGAAATATATCTTTTTCTTGTGTGCAAGTTCCTTCAGCTTGCAACTTGTAGCATTATCACTGTATTAAGGTTGCATTGTTAGAGGTTGCAATAAGGTAGGTCAGTTTGATTGGGTTCATCTTAGGTTCAAGGCAGATCCAGTTTGAGTTGTTCCTTTCTGAGTAATCTTTTTTTCTCTTTCCCTTCCCTTTGCTAGAGATGGCAATCAGTTGTTGGTTGTTATTGGTTGGGTGTTGACTTTTGGAGTCAATCCAGGTTAGGTTGAGTTGGATGGCTGTCAGCTTTTGCCACATTTATTCTTTTCGAACATGATCTGGTTAAGAAAGTTCAAGAAAGAAAACAGTTACAGTTTCATCAAGACTTACAACATGCTAGCTAAACGTTCAACTTAAATCCTATACAAAGATGCCATTCATCAGTAAGTCATCAGACATCTGAGACAATGTTGTGTGACAAAGTTGCACTTAGGTGACACTTGAAATGTTACAGAACACTAGTACTGCAGCATAGACAAGGAAAAACACCAAAAAGGCAAAAGAAGGGAGGAAACTTCTTTTTTCTGCAAACATTTTTTATCATAAATAATACTGTTCAACTGCAACTGTTTCCTCTATTCTGGAATTTTATTTCTTGTTTCTAGTTTTACATCTGATTTAACCTTGGTCATAACCACATCCAGGCACATTTATACTGGGCAAATATCTGGACTAATGGTCTGAACACTACTCTTTCTGAAAGCCAAAGCGTGTGCTCCGCATTTCTTGCGAATATTGATGAGCATAAAGCAGCAACAGTAACATTCCGTGGTAAATCATACACTTTGCCACCATGGTCAGTGAGCATTTTACCTGACTGCAGGAACACAGCATTCAACACTGCAAAGGTTTGCTTTTCAACTTTAGAAATTTGAGTTGTTAATGAATGGTGAATTGGTGACATGTCTCTGCAACAAACACATGCTTGTTTATCTATCTGCCTTAATTGCTAGATATGAGTCCAAGACCCAATTAATACAGTCCTCTATGAATCATCTCCCGTTTAGGAGGACTCAAAATTCTCGCACTTACATCTACACATAAGAAAAGTACATCCATTTTACATTATGACGCTTTCTCTGTTAAAAGATTCTGGCCATCATTGCTGTATCAAATTCCAGGAAGATGCCATTGCCACTCTCTTTTCTGTCTCAAATCATGAAATTCATGCATCACACAGCTTCCACTAAAATAGTCTGCTTTAACAACAAACTGAGAATTCTGCTCAAGTTTACTAGCTTCTTCCCTCATTTTTCAAGAAAAACGTACTCCTTTTTATTTTACAAACTAGTGTTTAAATTGGTATTACAGTTACAGTTGAGATCAATGAGATGAATTAATTGAAAACAAATGTAATTCTTGTTAATAAAATCGCAGGGAAACCCAAGGGATACGCTAAATAACTTTTTCTTCTTAGATGAAAGTACTAAAGTGTCATTGACAGTTATCTGACCTGACTTTGTTTATATGCAAAGCAAGTTTCATTTAGAAATGAAAAGTTTTCCTTCTTGTAGATGGAAATGAAAATGACGATATAAGCCAGCTGAAAGTGCTGAATTTTCGGCCTATGACTTGATTTTAAGTTTTTTGCCCCTGCTTAGATAAAAGTGAAATTTTAGTTTCCTTCGTATGTATAAGTCCTCTTTCTTCTTTTATATGTCTGAACAGGTTGGAGCACAGACCTCCGTGAAACTGGTAGAGTATGCCTTGTCTCCAAAAATATCTGTACCACAACTAGTGATGACCAAGAATGAAGTTTCCGGTATCCCAGAGTCATGGATGTCTGTAAATGAGCCTATTGGTATATGGAGTGTGAACAACTTTACATTTCAAGGCATGTTGGAGCATTTGAATGTGACAAAGGATGAATCTGACTATCTGTGGCATATGACCAGGTTAATTATTGTCTACTCTTGGATTTTGCTGCAATAGTATCTGATTTCTGGAAGAAAAAGAAAATGTAGGATTTATCAGGAAAAGAATTTTCTCTGGTGCAACCATGTTTCATTTTTGGTGAAATTTTCATCGAAGAGGATTTATTTGTGGTTTATTTTTGTGCATGGCTCTTATGTATTCATTTACTAGGACCATTTTGACTCCAATCACCATGACTCCATTCTAATTCATCTTTCATTGTTCTCTTTGGTTATTGTTTTTATTAAATTCCCCTCCTTTCAGAAGAAATTGCTTAAGGACAATGACATTTGAGAATCCCTTTCGCATGTTGTCTCATTAGTCTATTGGCCAAAAATGTGTGTTAAAAATTTTTTTGTTTAGTTTACCCTGGATCCACTACATTTGAGAAGTTAGAAGATTGCTTCCTTTCCCATTTTCTTTTTCTTTGACTGCTAATAAATTTGGGAGATGGAGGGTTATATGACTATTATTGTCATCATTATTCTGCTTAAAAACAAAAATTGCATACATTATAAACGTTGTCTTTGTACCATCTCTTTCTTGAACATTTATTAAGTAAACTGATTTTCAACTTTACAGTTGACATTTGATTTCACTAGTTCTCTGTTACGGTCCCTTGAAACGGATCGAGTTATGGGTCGGTGTGTGGAAGGGTTGGGTTTAGTTTGAGGTAAGCTGGGTATTTGGGTGGAAAGTTTCTTTTTTCAACCTATGTTTGTAATGCTGGCTCGTTAGGGAGAACCTGCAGATCTCTTGAGTTTTAAGTACTCAAAACTTGAATAGATTCTGAACAACCTTTTTTATTAGCTTCACTGTCTTTTAAATAGAGCTTAGTGGATTAACCTCCCTTAAAGCAAGGTAATAAAGTGGAAAGGTGTAGACACAACCTCCAACAACTTGAAATGGAAAACTACCACTAACAATAAAATAGGAACAACAATGAAAGTGTTAACAATAAACTGCCAGCAGTCAGTCAGATATGTTGACTTAGTCTATACTTCCCATGTGTGAATTGCTTGTAAACTAGGGAATTAGCTGATGTGCTAAAATTCTCTTTAGTCAGTATGTTAATAAAGAAAAAGTATTTTTATGAATAAGTCTCATTTGGGACTTCCAGATAAGCAGAAAGCATGAGTAACATAGTATCATTTCTTTTCGGGTAGGGACAGGGAAGGGCCTGGAATTTATTTGACTATTATTGGCTCCACTATTTATATTGCAAAAAAAGTGGTCGATTTTTAGTTTTGCTGATGGTAATCACTTGACTAAACATTCTAGTTTCATTTATATGCAATTCATCATTGATGCCTCTTTATTCTATATCTGGAATGTAGAATATATGTTTCTCATGAAGACATCACATTTTGGGAGGAAAATCAAGTTAGCCCTACACTTGTGATTGATAGCATGCGTGATGTATTGCGGGTATTTATTAACGGACAGCTTACAGGTAAAATTCTCATATTGTTATTATATTCTATTGCTTGCATGCCCATGCACCTGCATGTATCTTCTCCCGACCCTTTAACCTTTAATCTAAATATAGACTGTATTTCCTTAAAAAACATGTGTTTATTGAAACTCGTCTTTATAAGTTTTAATACATCTCAGAACTGAAGTTTTCACTAATATGTATGATTCTATGCTTCTGGAACTGAAGGCAGCATAAGTGGTCACTGGGTCAAGGTGGTCCAGCCTGTTCAATTTCGCCAAGGTTACAGTGATTTGATTTTGTTATCTCAGACGGTTGGTTTGCAGGTAAAACCTGGTTATTTTCTTCCCAGTATCTGAATATCATCTTTTAAAATTCTTGAAATGGTTTAGCGGAATAATTGTCTCCAAGGTGCTGTCTAGCATAATGGTAAAACCTTTCTAGGATCTTGAAGCTAAGGATTATGGTAGATGATAGCTACCTTTATTTTTTAGATGTCATGCCAATTATATGAGATTGGTATTTAAAGGAGACTGATTAAAGAGAAATATGCCTAATTAGAAGATTATTGCTAGAGCTCAAGAGGAAGAGAACTGCCCCACTGCCTGATTCTAGAATCAACACCCTGAGAACTCTTACAATTGTGTGTTTGGTACTTGAAATACAGAACAGAACAAATTCCAATGTTCCATTTCTTGTCATCCCACTCATCCCCTCCCTGCACCCAAAACAAAAGGGTGGCAAAATAAGCCAACCCTGGGCCTAATTTTCTAGAAAAGGACTAACTGTTGTTAGGTGTGCCTTTAAGGATTTATACTTCTTTGCATATTCTTTTGCTGTGAAGGATTGAAAAGAAGTAAAAATCTTCCTCCTGGCCTCATGATTGTCATCTATTGGCATTCAAATTTTCAATTACCAATTCATAGATCATAAGTTAGTTTTGAAGGACTGTTATTAAGCTTGTCTCTAATCCTTCATACACATTTTTTTGTTCATTGGCTGCAATGAAAGAAATGGTTTAAACTGCTAAATCACTGGGATGTTTGTGAATTGTATTTGTAGTGTTGTGGACGTTTGATTAGTGCCTGAAACTGTTCATATATAAGTTATTTACGAAGTTTCTCCTGTCTATTAATGTTTCTCAAGTTGGGGTAGAGCAAAATATAAGATCAGCTCTTAAACAAAGAAGTAAAAATTTGGTAGTCTCAACAAATCTGTCTTCTTCCAATTTAAACATACAAACCATATTCTGTTGGACTGAAGCAGGTTCTTGCTCTTGGTTCTTTCTGAAATGTGCAATATATCTTGGTTCTTATAGATGTTTGTGATTTCTTGGCATTTTATTCAGAGTGCTGTTAGTCTCAGCAGTTTCTCAATTTTAGATTTTCATTAATGACTTGTCTCAAATGGAATGGTGATTATATATCTATAATGTCGTAGCACTAAATTTTGCAATGATGATACAGAACTATGGTGCCTTTCTAGAGAAAGATGGTGCTGGGTTTAGAGGCCAAATTAAGCTTACTGGATTTAAAAATGGGGATATAGACCTTTCCAAGCTTTCATGGACCTACCAGGTTTGTATTTATAATTTTATCCTACTCTTGTCTTTTCTTTGGGTTATGTTTTAAAATTGTAGTCAGGTAGTCATTTTTATACACATACGCATACAAATAATTTGTTGCTTCATTCATTTCATGATTATTCAGTAAACACTAATGGTTTTTTTTTTCTTTTGAACTATAGGCCTTCTCTATGATGCTGTTTATGTTTTTGAATATTTTATGATAAAGACAAATGGTAAGCAACAAAAGAGGGAGGGTAGAACAGGTTGACACTTAAAATAAATTCTTCACCATCCACCTGTGCTTCAAAACTCTGTTCTGGTGCACAAAAGAAGGGGAATAAATGTTCAACACTGATATAGAGAGCAGGGACGGACAGGGGAATGAGAATATATAGAGGTTTGGTCTAGCCACTTGGTGCCTGTGCCTCTCCTCAAGATTTTACCCTCTTGGGAATTGTACCCGCTAGCTTAATGATTCTAGTTTTAAGGTGTTAGCTACATTGGCCAGTGTTTTAACAATACACCATAGCTCAATGTAATTCCTAAAACCTAACAATATCTCACAAGAGATCAATTCCCCCTTCTCTCAAAGGATTAGAAGAAAAATGCAGAGTAACCACAAAGATACAAACACCACAAGGTGAGGCTTCTACGATATGGCTCTCAACTTGAAATAGCTTTCCAAATGTGAGCTCTTTTGATGAGTTTCATGATGATTTGAAACTGTAGCCTTCTTGGAAAAAAAAAATTAAGCCTCCTTTTATAGTAGATAAGAGAGTATAATTGTTGCAAGAATATAGGAGCATGTTGGGTGCATTTTTTGGCTTTCTGAGTTTTGATGGTTCAGGCTTGAATAGCCGCCATGCTTGTCCAGAATAAAACAGGCATAATTTTGATGTCCAATCAGGGGATCAACAGGCATCTCTTTTTTGAATAAGGTTTACTGCTGTCTGGATTGCTCAGATTCTTCTTTCAGTTTCTGGCAAAAAAAATTTGTTTGGGATGCCCATAGATGCCAAATCTTATGTTCCAAGAGGTGATGTGGCAGGCTTCTGTTATTCAGATCATATGGTCTTGCCTCTGCCTTCTGTTATGATTAACATTGGTTTGTTTCAACAATACAGTCATATCTTGTTGTCCTGTTCTCAACAAAATCAAACTAGCTTTTCTGCGTGCTTATATATTGGAAGTTTTTTTTTACTATCAATCAAAATAATGATGGCTGATCCTTACATAAAATAGAATCTTATTAGACTATGGATTCTCAAAAGCCGATATATTTATTCTAAATACAATCTTATCAGACCATCAGATTCACAAATGTGGGTGCATTAGCGCTTCTTTTGAGCACCTCTATCCCAACACTACTTAAAGCCAAGTAGGAGAGATATCTCTAGGTTAAATCAAATTTTCTGTTTTTCTTGATGGATTCAACTGATATAGAACTGAGGTCTTTTAGAATTTGAAGCTCACTGAGTGTGGAAACAGAAGTTTTCATGTTTTGCAGATTGAGGAAATATCACATTCTATTACTGCTATGTGTCTCAAAATATAAAAAAGAATGACCAGGGGTATTTCTTATTTCAAGAGAACTTTGCTTCTGACAGATCTTGATGGAAGGGGACAACTTTGCTTCAATCATTCCTATGCTAGGATGGTCTGTGTCATGAAACAAAAAAATACATCTTACTAGCCTTGTATTCTTTGCCATTTGACATCATTAATCATGTATTCTCCCCAAAATGAGGAAATGTATGGTCTTGACTCTTTGACCTACTTGATTTTTCCTTGTGCTAATACATTGATTCTACTTGATATGACACGAGGCAATGCATATAAGATTGCATATAAACTCAAAAGTCCAAAGGCTGGTCTTGGATGTGAACATCTTAAATTTCAAATGGTTGAAACTATGCTGACCATGTTTGGTCATTAAACTCAACTTTGTTTTGTAAATCCATCACCATTTTGTCGCATAACATCGTTCTGATTAGTCTGTGCCCTGGAATTCTTGAAGTGGATAATTTCTTTTACCTTATCATTGTTTCTCCTGGAGGTACAAAATAATAAGGAAAGCACTTAGTTTCTATATTTTGATTCTAGGTTGGTCTGTGGGGTGAGTTCCAGAAAATATTCACCATAGAAGAAAATGAGAAGGCAGGATGGACAAAGTTGAAGCGTGATGCTACTCCCTCCACATTTACTTGGTACAAGGTAAATCTATTCCTTGAACAGTTGTAATTATAATAACACTTACTAGGATGGGATTCTGTTGCATCTTAATCCAATATATTGGAGATTTAAATCTCATTGAAGCAGTAAAGTTTCAAAATATGGTTTTCCTTATTCAGAGGCACTTATAAGGCACTGTCAAAAGCAGTAGTGTGGATTCGTATGAAATTGGCCTTAAAATTCCCCACCTGTTCTCTGATGGAATGGGCTAAGAGTTAAAGTATGTAACTGCTTCTGCATAGAATAAAAAGGTAGTCCGGTTGTCTTTCAATTTGGCATATTGAATCCTGATGAAACATTCTGAGCCAGCTCCTCGAACACAACCAGCCCTAATAGAAACCTTTCTTTCCCATTTCACCCTCCCTTGGTTCCTGCAATATAGTTATCCAATTTTTCTCTCTTTTTCTCCCTAAATGGATTAACTTTTAGGCTTTAGCTTTTTTCTGAAGGATAGAAAGCTGTGAAGATCAAAATTTAGCAATGAAATAAAAGAAGGAAAATATTTCTTGGAGTTATCTCCTAATCTTTTCTATGGGGAAAAAATTGGGGGCAATTTGTTTCCCAGCATAAGGTATTTTAAGTTGAGTATCTCAAATTGTCCCTGCTTTTGGGAAAAGTAGAACAAAAATTTTTCACAACTTAACAATATTGTAATCTACTTATTTCATTGAACTCATTAAGTAGAAATGTAAAATTGAAATGATATTTAAGAACTAAAGAGCCCCTTGTTCTTTTTTGTTCATAAAAATAAGATGTCTCGAAATATGTTTCATCTGATTTTTCTCTTTTACCCAAAACAACAATAAACTAAACCTTTGCCACCAAATAGGCTTGGCTATATGGATGATTCCGCTTCAAGGTGCCCTATTTAAAATTATATCTTCAGAAGCATTATAAAACTTAGGCCTTTTTTGTAGGTTCCATCCATGTTCTCTTTGGTGTCCGACTCCTTCTCTTGACATTGGTATTATTAATAAATCACATCTTGTCAGGATGGCATTTGTAGCTCTTCATTAACATGCCCAAACTATGTTTACCGTGTTTCCTCATTTTCTTCTCAATAAATGCAAGCCCCACCTTCTCCCTTATGCATTTATTATAAATTTTATCTTTCCTTGAATGACCACAGATCAAGTGTTGCATTCTCATCTTAGACATGCTTTTTTCTTGCATGTGTTGATGCTTAATTTTTATAACATTCATTCCTTTGCAACATTGTTAGTGCTATTGCTTTCATGTAAAAATTTTCATCAACTTTTGGTGGGATTTTGTGATCATAAAAGAAACAAGAGTGAGAACTATTCTCTTCCTTTCTATGACCTCTTTCCATCTTCTCTCTTTTCTCTCCCCAACGTACTCATAATTTCATGGTAATTTCTCAATGGCTTTGCTTTTTTGCATCTTTGCTTCTATTTGCACTCTTGATTATGTTTCTACGGCAAACATGATAACCCAATAATCTGATACTTGAAAAAGAAATAATGGGTCCCACCCTTTCTGCTTGTCTCTTATGTACAAATTCTTCAATATTAGGATATAATTTGGGGCATCTTCCTTTTTCTAATTCATTCCTGGTGGTGTGATCACTTGTGCTTCTGTTGCACATATCTGAATGTACACCATTTTTTTTTTCTACCCTTTTTCTTCTCTCTCTTTTTTTTGTTTTTTTGGAGAAAGGACATTGATCATCTCATTTTTATTCCTTTGAAGAAAAGTCTACTTACACATTCTATCCCCAATGCAAGCAGGCATACTTTGATGCTCCTGATGGAAAAGAGCCAGTTTCTTTTGATTTAGGAAGCATGGGAAAGGGCCAAGCATGGGTCAACGGCCACCATATTGGAAGATACTGGAATCTAGTTGCCCCAAAAGATGGATGTTCAAAAAGCTGTGATTATCGTGGAGCATATAATTCAAATAAGTGCATGACAAATTGTGGGAAGCCTACTCAATCCTGGTATTATCTCCACTGGAAGCGTATGTAAATCAATGCAAAGTTATCTAACATTGTTGTTTATCACACTATTGTGACTTACTATTTGCATGCCATGCTTGTGTATGTGAACATTCATATGCTTTCCAAGTTGGACAATTGCAGTGAAAAATGGCATTTTAGTTCCACTTCATGATATATTTGCTATTGGACCATCATCAGGTACCACGTACCACGGTCATGGTTACAGGCATCAAACAATTTACTTGTGATATTTGAGGAAAATGGTGGGAACCCGTTTGAGATTTCAGTCAAATTACATGTGCCCCGAATTCTCTGTGCTCGAGTTTCTGAGTCCCACTATCCGCCTCTGCGAAAATGGTTCCATCCAGATGTTATTGATGGAAAATTGTCCATAAGTGATATGAAACCAGAAATTCACTTGCAGTGTGAAGAGGGGCATATAATCTCCTCCATAGAATTTGCTAGCTATGGAACTCCTCATGGCAGCTGCCAGAATTTTTCTGAAGGCAATTGCCACTCGCAAAATTCATTGTCCATGGTATCCAAGGTATATATGTTTATTTATTGAAAAGAAGATATATATGTTTAAAAAGTTCTGATAATTGATGAATAATTCCTTGAAATATAATTATAATGAGAAAGAGAGTTGAGTATATAAAGACATAGCATCTGTTTAGTTAGAAAGACATCGGGTGGGTCTATGCTGAGCTTGAATTGGATGCTTCTGTCTTCTGCTAATGTGTTCATTGTGGTTGAAGTGATTTAAGATATGTCAAGATTTGTAGAGCTACATATGCATTCCTCCTCAAAGCTAGTAAAGGATGACATATCAAGACATGCAAATCGGTGAAAAATGGCTAGGAGTATTACTGAGCTTTATTAAGTTCATCAAGTAGACAATTGCATGCATTATCTACCTTGAGAACATTTTTCTTGGGTTTTTGAGTGGACCCTGCCTCTTCCAGAACTACCACAATTGCTAGTTCAAATGACAGCCTGGAAAATCACAGCATCAAGCTACTATCAGTTCATCGGATATGGTTTTAAAAACTATTATACCAATTACCTTTTATATGATCCTCTCATCATTGAAACCTTTTCTCTACTGTATATTGTTAAGTAATCTAGAGTAGTCTGAAGACCAAAAGGTTCTGTTGTGGAGGAAAACACTCTTTAGCAATAGTTCTGTATATTTATGTGAGAAATTTTTACAAAGTGTTAAAAGTTGTATGATTCTTGCATGCTGCTGAAATATCTACAGTTTGAGGTTTTACCTTTTTTTTTTCATTGAATACAATCTTTCTGTTCTTGTCTTTAAGACTTTTGTCTTTTTCTCACCCAACCTTTGCAGGCTTGCAAGGGAAGAAACAGTTGTTTTATTGAGGTTTCAAACTCTGGGTTTGGAGGTGACCCATGCAGAGGTATTATCAAGACATTGGCAATTGAGGCAAGATGTGTCTCATCATCAACTATTGGAGTCTCCCAGTTCTAAAATGACAAGCAGCTGGTGCAATGAAGATAGTTGTTGACCGGAAACAACCTCTATTTGTAGCCAACCAGTTGTGATGGGCATTTCCGTTATATCATTTGTACAAAATTGCATGCTCAAACCTCCGCTGTTGGGTTCTCCACCCTACCGGTGCATGCAGGTTTTCTGATTGATTTATTTATAAATAAATCGTGTATTATATGTAATAATTTGGTGAACCCTATCTCTGAACTTGGAAAATTGAAGGGGAGAAATAGGGTCAGTTTCTTCAACGATTACTTTAAACCTGGATTCTGGATTGTAATGGCGAAGCCATGTTATTTTATGTTGTGAATCTCATGTGTGTGCATGATACAACTTTGACAATCGAATCACAACAGAATTCTTGCTGCTTCCATCCCTAGCAATGCTTTCATTACATAAACTGGATGTGGGATTGATTAGGCGTCAAGTAACACTCCTGCAATTGCTTTTAATTCGAGGAAAGAATGAAGAAGAGAGAGGAATTGACAACCATGGGAACTTCAAATTCTTATTAATTCTCATCAAGAAATCGAACTTATTTAAAGCTCGAGCTTACAGAACACTTTTAATCACATCTACTCCTTTTACGGTCTGTGTTAAATCAATTGTAGAGTTAAGATAATCTTCATAAAGCAACTTTATAGCCAACATGGCATGAGTGAAAAATTTTACGGACAACCACTTCTTTAAGTCACAAATTTTTTAACTGATAAAGGTAGGTTTGAAATTAAGTTGAAAAGTAGGTCTGCACATTGAAAAGAATGGCAAGCAAGGATTAAAATAACAAGAGTCACGATAAGCTACACCCAGAATCACTGCAAAACTCATACTCACAATGGTATGATTAAAAAGTTAATACTGATTAAACATTGAAGAGGGTATATTTCAAATTCAAGCATCTGATAATAGCACCTTCATGCATGCAATAATACCCTGCATGATGGAAATGGTAATAAGTAGAACAGCCTAACTGGATATGTATACTTCTACATTTTTCCCCGTACTGTCTAAAGAAAAACATTCAAAATCTACTTGGGACTTCTCTCATCATGCAGTGCACTCTTGAATCGCCCAGTTTCAATGTCAAAAACGCCAATAAATTTGAGGAAGCTTGCTCTCAGGTAACTTAAGAACATATTGAAGGGGAAAATTGTTATCAGCTGTCTCACTTTAAGCATCTGAGCTTCTTCACTGCATCGTTGATGCTCTGGCTTATCTCGGGATGATTGGGCTTGAGCAATTTCTCAAGTCTAAGGGTGGCTTCAGGAATGCAATCCTCCTTGATGTAAGACTCTGAACACAGACCAAAAATTACTAGGTTGACCTCTCCCTCAAGTTGAAGGCAAAATAAGTGGCTGAAGACCTGAAAGGTGACCGTTAACATTACAAACTGCCAAACACATTTATATTGGTATGTGCTATATAAATTTAATAAACACAGAAGAATGAAAAAATTGCTAATGCTAAAATTAATATTAGTTTGCTAAATGTCTATATCCCCTTAATAAGTTCCTCTAGTTAAAATAATCAGAACAAAAATAATCATTAATAGCAACAAAGCTAAATTTATCAGAATCAAAAAATAGTGTTCAACTACCTGGGGTATAGCAACCACTCCTACCTTTGTACCACTTAAAAAACAGTAGTACACTTAGTAACTGAAAACTTTGATAAGAGGAGAAGTTGGAGAAAAGTCAAGAAGATAATAGAGCAGAGAGAGAGAGAAAGAGAGTGAATCTATGTGCCTTCGGAGGCATACATTATTAAGGAACAATCCTCAAAGAAATAAAACAATTTTATTTTTTTGAAAATGGTAAATGGTGTAAGTCTGGTCAAATTGAATCTGATGGGATAAACATGCATTTAATGCTCAAGATATGTTTAATATGACCAAGAATCACAAGGAATATATTAATACACAAACAAGGATGGAGCCTAGGGGGCTAGGTGTCACTGTCCATGAATCTTATGAACAATCCAACTCGATTGGACCATCGATCTACCAGCACAAGGACGTGCCACACAACGAGACAAGACGTGGAACATCCATGGAACGATATAACACACGAACTCAACATCAACCACCATTGAACCAGTATCAATTGGGATTTCCAAACACATAATATGCCAGCAACATTGGGCTGCACAAGCAGGGTGCAAACAAACGGGCCATGCAATGCAATGCAAGACAGCAAGCTTCCCAAATGCACATGGGTGCCACGCATAAGGTAAGTATGCACATGGGTGATTACCATATGAAACTTGAGCATGTGCTGTGCACACAAGGAGGTCGTGCACATCACGACCACACACCAAAAGGCTGCATGTGTACAAGCCACGTGCACCATAAAGTCTCGCACGAGAAAGTTGCGCACAAGAGGACCACGCACTAGTGAGCCACACAATAAAAGGCCATGCATCAGTGAGCTGCACATCACCAAGCATCACACATGCTATGCCAAAAGGACTCACATAGATGTGGGCCATGCGCAAGGAAGCAACGTGCGTGAGCACCGCACAGATGGAAGCAACACATCAACAGCCCAAATACAAGAAGAATACCTGGATGATCTGTCAACTACCAGGAAGAGTGGCAACTAAGTTAGTGGTCTATAGAAATTATGACACTTTCCATATTTATTTTTCGTTATTTGTCATTTATTTTACTTGCACTACAAGTAGGTCTAAGTTTAGACAATTTTCATACTAGTGGTTTGCCATATTTTTACTAGGTTTAATAGGTTATTAATTATTATAAATAACCCCTTAGGGAGTCATTATAAACTGTCACGGGTTTGAAACTTTAGTCAAGATCCGTCCGACACATACCCCAAACGTGAAGACTAAGTAAGCCTAAATTTGAAATAATACAAAAGCATAAGACAATTGAAGAAAGGAATGGGAGAAAAAATAAGTGTATTATTCCTCAGAAGCAAACAAAATACCAAAAACCTACACTAATTGCTTGGTTGGCAACTTAGTACCCTAAACCTAAACTTACTTGTAATGCAAGTGAAGTAACTAACAAGTAAGGAAACATAAATAAAAAAGTATTCTATTTTCCACATAACACAATTTAGTCTAAACCCTAGACTATTTAGCTGTCACTTCCTTATAGCTAATAAATCACCCTCATACACTCAATCCTCTTGTAAGCAAGCTGTTAATGCGCCGCCCTTACGCGCACTGCTTCCCTACACGAGCCCTACATTTATGCAAGTCACTCAAACGCAACATGTGTGCAACTTGGTGATGTGCGACCCTTTGTTATGAGGCCCACTAGTGCGTGGTCCTGTGCTCAGCCCTCCCGTGCAAGGTGTTCTAGTGCGCACGACGATTTGGTTTGCAAGTTGTGTTTACACAACCTTCTAGTGCGAGGCCTACTTGTGTGAGCAACACATGCACAATTTTCATAAACGCGCTGCCTATGTGCACACTTACCTTACACGAGACGCCCATGTGCATGGCATTTGCGCATGCAAAAGTGAGAGTCCTGTGTGCACGCAGCCCTGGCACACCAAGCTTGCTTTCCCGCACTACTCTGCATGACTTGTCTATCTGCGCTCTACTTGTGTAGCCCAACGTTGTTGGCATATTGTGCGTCCAGAAACCTTAATCAATGCTAGTCCGATGGTGGTTGATATTGAGTTCGCGTGCCATATCGCCCCATGGCTAATTCGTAACTCATCGCACTGTGCAACACGTTCTTGTGCTGTTGGCTCTATGGTCCAATAGAGCTGGACTAGTCACGGATTCATGAACTGTGACATTCTCCCCCACTTAATTTCGACAACGCCTTTGTTGCCTCAGAGTCTCACTCCACCACAAGTCTTCTGCGGGTCCACCACTAGCTTCGTGGGTTCGTTTGAGACAGCTACTGGTCGGCTGTCTCATGAACACTTCCAACTCTGGTTGTTCTCGTTGGTGTAGATCTTCAGCTAGCGTCTCACCTCTGAAGCCTTCATGGTACGCTCGTGAAGCATCCAAGTGCACAATTTCCATGTGCACAGTGTCTAGGTTTGCAACACAAAGGGGAAACAAAGGGGTGTGAGCTTGACTCACAGATCGTCACTCCCTTCTCAAAGATTGGTTGACTAAATTGCCTCCGTTCAGTTATGAAGTCGCTAGCTATGACTTGCCAATCCTTGTTTGCCATGTGCAAGTCCTTTAATTATGTTTTTCCATAGTTAGTAGGGACTATCACACTATAAATAATCCCCTTAAATTCACTTTTATTTTCACCAAGCATAGGTCAACCAAAGCTACAAGCAATTAGTATAGATCTTTGGTATTTTATTTGCTTCAAAAGAATAATACACTTATTGTTTCTCCCATTCCTTTCTTCAATTGTCTTACACTTCCATATATTTACGCTTCTACATTACTTTCACAGTTAGGCTTCTTAGGCTTCATGCACGCAGGGGTTAAGTACCGCACAAATTTTGACTAAAGTTTCAAACCCGTGACATAAGGCCATGGCCCTTGTGGCTTTCCCAAAACCTTAATGTCTTACCTTTACAAAGTTCTACAGTCTTTTGTAATTTTATTACTTGGCCCCTCTTATTCTTAAAAATTCTATACTTAATTTTAATTTTCCAAACTCTATGCTAAAAATCTACGGGTTCTTTCTAGAATTTTTACTGAATTTAATTCTCAGTTTCCCCTTCACTTATCTTCACTTTTAAGGCGTCACTTTTCCTTTGTCTTATGCTTAAATGGTGCCTTCAATTTTATTCTCCCACTAGTACTTTTTGGTTTTTGCACATATAAATTCTTCTCTCTAATTCTTCTTCCTTTTTTCTTTTAACTTTCCAAATTTTTTTACTACAATTATTTCTACTATTTAACAATTTACATATCAAAGACATTATAATAACATTTTACAATAACCACATTAAATGCAAAGACATTACAAGAATAGTTTTTTTGTTTTAAAAAGATTAGAAACTAAATAGATAACAAAAAAATTATAGCATTCTTTTTATAGAAAATTATAGCACAATTGCCCCCCCTTGACTTAAAACTCTGACTCCAAGCCTGCACAGACATACACAGACCCATTCTAGTATATCGTTTATTTTTCTAATTGATATTCTTGAAGCATTTTTATCAAAAGTTATTAATCATTACAAGAAAACTATTGTTTTATTTAAGATAGAATAAAAATGGCTTCCAAATAATAATTAATTATAAGAGAATATTGAACCATCAAAAATTAATTCAGATTGTTACCACAGAACATGTGTTGAAGTGTCATACAATGCAGAGCAAGCATAAGTATCCAAAAAAGGTAAAACAGAAAATATATGAATCACAGATAATGTTAAGCTCTTTTGCAGCCCTTTGGTATGGTTGAATCCACATTCCATAGCATGTATAAAATCTGTTCTCTTTTCAAGTTTTCTGGCTGGAGCAACCTTAAAGCAACATCTTTGCTGGCTATTGCAATTCTCAGCCAGGACCATATAACTACTAACAAAGAAGCCTTTAAAATATAATTAACAGTAGATTTATAGAAAGATTAAATAGATAGAGAGAGAATAAAACTTCAAAACAAACAACAATATTTATGAAAGTTCTTTATTCTCACCTCTTTCATCCTTGAAACAACCATGTCTTTAATGGCAGAAGACCTTGAGACCAAATTGATAACAAAGAGACCTTGCTCTGAAAGGGCATCTTTTACAGTTCGAAGAAAAGACTCTTCCACAAAATCAGCAGCAGGACAGGTCATTCCAGAGCTATAAGGATAAAAAGACAACTTAATAAAAGAGATGAATAAATAAAAATTAACAGATTTTAAACTTTTCAACAACAATATGCAGCAACCCTTAATAGTTACAATCACCTTGAGTCTGAAGAGTCGACATCAACAATAAGTATGTCAATAGTGGTACTTCTTCTGGTTTCTTCATCTGAAGAATTGCATCTCCCATTGGAAGAAAGGAGCATTTCACTACTCAAAGCATCCTCATTTTCATGAACAGGCATTTCCCCAGCTGCAGATAACTTTCTATAGTCCCGGACAAACTCAATCCCGTCGGCAATATGTACCTGAAAACCATTGGAAAGCCAAAAGTTTTTTAAACTCTATTGAAAAAAGAATCTTCTTTCTGCCATCTTAAAGTTCTTTCCATATGCATTCTTGAAAGGTGAAACAAAAATGCTTTTTCTAATTTACTTATTCTATCTTTTCCAACTTTTATTACACTACCTACGCCATCAAGAAGATTATTGAGTGAATAGAGCCTTGATGTTTAGAACGAAAGATTGAACCAGGAATCAAACCATGAAATTAATATATAATAACAAAAATATACAGATATGAAATTAGAATATGATATTACAAATAAACAATGATAAGCCTTCATTGAGTTGAAAGCAAACAAAAAATACTTGGAGCATACAACAGGGTTAATTTACCCTAAAAAATATGTTGTCAAATATATATCTAATTTGACAATTGCATCTAGAAAAAGCAGATGTATTACATGTTAAAGTTTGTACCATGCTTGTATTGTAATTTCTTATTAAAAGTTATATCATATCTCAAAAACATCGAACACTCATTGTTTACCAAAAGACTATATGTGTATATCTATAATAAATTAAAGATAAACACATTCACACACACACGCACAAAGAAGACTCTGCGGCGATATTCTGCACATCCAGATTTGCTTGTTGGCTAGAGCGGCCCTTATCAAATATTAAGGTCACTGGGTCAGGTCCATCCATCAACAAATTTTGGAGGCACTTTACTCCCCCTTCAAAAACTACCTGATTTTCTCAACTTAAAACATTCACCATGTTTCAATTAAACTATCAACCTTTTAAGAGGTTCACCAAAATCATTGTGGTATGACCCAGGCCATGTTCAAGGCCTTGCAGGTCTTCCAGTTAGACCAACCAATCCAGCCAAATTTTACAATGAATTAGAGGTTTAGTCTCCTTGGAAATAAAATGAAGGTGAAAATGCTATGCACGGCATCATAAAGCATAATCTGCTTAAAGGTTAGTTCTCCATGTGTGAATTATTCTGAAGGCAAGTTTGAAGATGAAAACATAAATAATGTTGATAACTGATTGGAAACAAGACCAAGCACAGCATCAAATGGATATTGACAGCAACAATGATACTAGTTTTTCAGGACAGGATATAACGAAAATTCAAATTAAAGATGCACTGTGATCCACAGCTAGTTACCTTCAAATGTTTATCTTGAGTAAAACCAAAGTAGTCTCTTGCAAGGTTAAGCATAGTAGGATCTAGCTCCACCACCTGTGGATAAGGAAGCCATTGAACTATTTCCATCAAGTGAAATCAACTTTAAAATAAAGAGAAGAATCATTAATTAATTAAAAAAAACCTTTTTATAAAAACAGATTGCAAATTTGCAAGATGATAATGTAAAAGCTTTAAATTACCTCAATTTGCATAAATTGCATGCACCCATTAAGAAACATAGGAAGTAAACCTGCACCAAGACCTATCACGACTGCTTTAACCTGAGAAAGATGATTTTTTAACATGAGCAGCACATTATGATTAAGAGCATCAATGATGTCAGAGAAAAGTTCACTTGCCTATTCAGACAAAAACATCAGGCAGCAATTTTAAACATGCAAATATGAAGGTCGGCTAAAGTAGGGCCAAGTCTGACACAGAGCATTATGACCCATAATTCAGAAATAATGTTCATTTCTTCATCTATGCATATCAAATGACCACCAAAATAAACTTTAATCAAGCAAAAAGAATATAGTCCTTACTCTATTTCCAGCTGATGCAACACTTTCCAAGTAAGATGAAATCAGCGAAAGCCCAGAAATAATCCCCGCATGATAAGAGCTAGCCAGAAAACCATGATAGACCTTCATCTTGCTGCTCAATTCTATTTTCAGTTGAGATGAAACAAAGTACTTTAATATTTAAAACGTTAATAAGAACAATCTTAGATAGAAGGTAATTTTGGCATTCCAAAGACAACATGTTGCTCAAGATCCTAAAAGAAGCGACTATGCTTCAACTGAGCCTGACTGAATAATGCACAAGGTTAGAAGTTTGTTACTGCAATGATGTCCGACCAATAATCTTAAAAAGAGCATCATATTTCTCTCCCTTTACTAATAATATTACACCAAAAAAAACATTAGTGGCATTCAAATGCAGAGGAATCATATAGTGCTAACAGTAAAAAAAAGAAAAAACTGTGCATCAGTTGAAGTCTAAAACATCAATAAATTCTAAAGAAGTGCCACATGTGGAAGTATAAAACCAAGAGAAAAGGGTCAGCAAGACCATAGTCTTCCGGTTCATATCAAAAATGTTCTGCCATCACTCTCTTTCTATGAATTACCAAGCTGACAGGGTAATGCTATCTTAATAGATTGTTTGTCAAAAGAACATCCACCCAGCTTGCTAACAAAATCAAGCACCACCCAACTAATACCAAAAAAATTAGAAAACATAGGCCAAATGAATAGTGAATTAGCAGAGGATCAATGGTATAGTGAATTAGCAGAGGATCAATGGTTTTGTCTGTCTAGCATATAACCATTAGTTCACTTCTAGTTTTTTCCTCCGTTAGGTTACTTTAATGGGCTGTGGTCCAAAAAGAGAGAAAAACTTTAAATGAAACCCCAACCTACAGTTTTCCAAAGAGAAGTTGCCACTTCTCATTTTACCTTCAATAGCCAAAGCTTCATAGAAAGTCTTCGCACTAAAACCTTGTTGGAAGAAGTCTCTAACTTCTAAAGATGACTTCTCATACTAATGCCACAATTTCAAATGGCATAAACAGAGCAGAAAAAGCATACATTGAATCTAATTCCTCATTCTGCAGAATATGGGTCAAATTCAGCATCCCAGGCACAGCAACCAAACTCACAGAGGAACAATTATCAAATCTCCACAAGAATGCTAAATAAATCAAGAACCACATTCATTGGAGGTTCCAGCCTGTACCTAATATCCTTCCAATAGCACCTTTTCCTCATCACTCAGGTTAACATGTAAAAGACAACATGATCCTGAAGAGTTAGTTTCATCAAATTCCACATATCAAAATGTAAAAAAGGTTTCACAATTCAAACAAACTCACCTGGCATTATACCAAAGTTACTCAAAACTACCAAAAATTTGAAAGAAAGAATCATTACCATTATTTTTTCCCTGGGTTCCTCTTCGTTTGGATTTGGAAGATGAGCTTGCTTTCTTCAGCTCTGATTTACTGACACTTTTGTCAAAAGATCCATCCCCAGTTAGCAAAGCTTCAGACTGTACCAGGCCCTCAGTTCTTTGGAAAATAAGTCGACGGAAGGGTAAAGAGCGAGCGACATCACCATCAGCATTTTCGTAAACAACATCTTCAATAATGATAGGCCCGGTCAAAGAAGATGAGCCCTGTACAAAATATAAGCAAGCAATTGAGTTGAGAAGACTGCACCAACCAAAATCTGAAAATGAATACATGTTACACAGAACATTGCAAATAACTGAGCAGCCAAGGTAAATCTGCAATTATAAACAAAGCAACTGCCCAATTGAAAACCAATAACGCATTTCAAGAAAAACTAATATTCAGTTTACCGCACACTTGAGTTGATGGCTCCTATTTATATTAGTGATCACACAACCATTACAACAATGGTTTTTTGCAAGGGAGATGAATCATTAATCACTACAGACTCAAAGCAATTGGCTACTAAAGGAAAAGATATTATGCAACATTTATGACATTAAAGTGCAACGAATGCTTTTTAACATACTGAAATTTTATTTGAATATAAAACCAGCCTAATAAGGGCACCCTGTAACTTTTGAGACAGATTTATGTTCTGTCAAGCCCTCAACTCTCAAAAGCTTTCTCGGTGCCAAAGCATTCAGATGGACAAGGAAAAGGAATAGTGGTTGTGAAAGCTATAACGTAAGTACAGCAGAACTCCATACTTTATATACTATAACAATATAGTTGATTTAAATGCTACTTTGCACTTCAAATCATAACACATGCCAGCAATAAGTGCACCAAAGATGTTGAGAGAAGAAACATTATGCAGTGTATCTAGTCTAGTAAGGAGATCAGACAACACTTATTCTAGATAATCACCAAGATTTTGCTCTTCCTATATAACAATGAAGCACGAGAAGAATGAAAACTCTCATAGATGGTGCTCAAAGCATTGCTAAACACATAGTAAGAGAACTATAAACCTGGTAAACAATGTTTCGCTGCTTGATTCCATCACTTGCTGTCATAAACCTGGTACAGTAAACAACCAAGAATCCCTCACAGAAAAAACAGATGATTGTTTGGCTATACAGCAAAAAAAGAAAAGTGCAGCATAAAAAATTCCACATGTTAGAGCACTACACAACAACATTAAACTGGTGCTCCTTAGTTCATATTTCATGAAGGATTAACAACTTCAATTGTTTGCTTCAGGAGCCTTTATATAATCACAAATTTTCTAAAGTGGCACTGAACAAGAAGTAGTCATGCAATCATTTTATGGGAAGTCCAACAATTAAGAGATTAGTCCTCTTCTTTAGCAGTGTGATGAAAACTTTTAATCTTAGAACTTAGGGACCAAAGTAAAACCTCTAAGTACCAAAAAGATGGCAGCATTGCCTCACACAAGTTGCCAGTGACATGTAGGTTATAAAATAATAACATAGTACATTCCAAAGCAAACCACTCATCCAACACTCAATCCATTATAACCAAAACATAAGCGAGGAAGAATGGATGTTAGCAAATGGACAATTTATAAAAGAATGGAACGTACGGAATTTGATCTCCCTTATCATTATCTGCAGGTGCCAATGGCTTCACCAGAGGAGACAAATCCTTCTGAAAGAGATAGCAATATCTAACTCAGTTAACGAAACTGACAGTTGACAAGTGAAGCTAAATATCTGTAGCATACCTGAATATCATCCATATCAGCATTAGCATGGATAGTCTCTAATAAAACCTTCATTCATGACATAAAATTACATTTAGATGCTTTAATTGGAGAATGAGTCTCATAAAAACAGACCTTGAACCAAGTATTAAATGTTCTAGGAAAAGCTACCATTATTAGACGAGCAGCCTTTGAGCTTTCAACCACCTGCCATTGTCCTTCTTCAGAAGAGAAGAGCCATTCATGAGCCCGAGTCTGAAATCTAAGATTCAGTTACATATTTCAAACAGAAAAAAATCACTTGCCCCAAATTGGGTAAACATTAATATATAAAAACATATGCTAACTACTTAACTGCAACATATAAATGTTCAATGCCTTCTTCTTTCCTTTAATACATATTTGTGGGTGCTTAGGGTATGACCTAAAAGGAGCTAACATGGTAGAAAGGAAGAGAGAAGAACAACTTCTATATTGCTCCCCCCCCCCCCCCCCCCCCCCCCCCCCCCCCCCCCCCTCCTTCCCGTGCTACTCAAAATGCAAAAGAAATAAATAAATCTATAATAATAATTAAAAAAAGCTCTTTATAGTAACTCTACAAACTTTTTCATTTGCCTTGCAAACGTAGAAGAGGAAAGAAATGAGGAAGACCAGTATGAGGGAGGGCTTGAGGCAGTCTCTTAGAGCATGGAAATGGTTTGTCATAAATTGAGTAATATTATTTTTCGAGCTTGACAGAAAGGATGCAGTTAAGATGAATTCATCATAGAAATCTGTGAAAGATCCCATGACAAAGCAAGTATATTAATAGCTAAGATTTTTTTCTGAATATAATTATAGCTAAGTTTTAAGTTAGGATGGTTAGTCACCAATTCAATGTCCCATGCAAATTTTAATTATTCAACCTATCCTTTCTCTAGCAAGAGCAGGAAAAAGATCCTGCACCAACTACACCCACCACCACCACCTTAACAAATCCTGAAGAACTTTTGCACCTATCTAGACACCAGAAGAGTCAAAATGCAATTCTCTCATTGAATTTTGATTTTAAAAAAAAAAGAGCAATGTAACAGATTCTAAGAGATCCAAAGAACTTGCATATATTCTAATTTCTCAAGTTAGCACGCATTTATGAATACAAGATGGAAATTTGCAATTTTATCTGCAAATAAATAATGGAATACAATATGTTCACTTGTCAGAGTCACATAAGACCCAATGCAGTATCAGTCCTGTATTAGAGGACTTACACCAATCCTTATCCACACCATGCAAGAGTCAAAGCCTCCAAGGCCAATTATTCAACTATATAGGAACCAGAGGACACTTACCAATAAGTCTCTATGCCCACAGTCCATTTGTATTCTAAAGACACCTTTTTCTTTGATAAGTTTAAAGACACACCTAACTCATTTTTTTAGAACCAACAAAACTACACATTTGAAGAGAACAAATAAACAAATTTGACCGTTTTAGGAAGCATGTAATTCTCTGTTCAATTAATTCTAAATAAATGCAACTTCTGAGCTATAAATAAGCAGACTTAATTTCAATCTGATTCAGATAAATTTTGCCTCAAAAAGTTTATTAAAACCATTTAAAGTCAAGACATACCTTAGGAACAATAAAGACACCACAGTGAAAAGAGAATGGACCAGACGGTTGTTTAGCATCAAGCAATACAGCTTTGTAACAAAAACGGGAGCCCCCTTGTTCACCCAAAGTAAGCTGAACTCGACAACCAGGGCTAACTTTAGTCAGATCCCCCTTAGCTCCGAGTTGCAGATCTTCAAGAGAATACAGTATATCAGAGCCACTCAAGTATTCTCCACGAATTCGATTCTCATTTTCAAGGGCTTCACAAAGACCAGAAGCCTAAAAACAGATTCCAAGGTTTAAATCAAAACCTTTAAAGAGATTCAGGTTCCAAGATTTCAGAATGGAGATCACATTGATAACAAACTATAGTAAGAAAATTCATTTGCCTTTTACCATTTTTGTTCAAACACTCAAGAAACCACTGCATGAACTACTATAACCTCTTACATATCAATGTTTGAATATTTGTGCACTTTTACTCAATTTATATTACAAATAATAATAATAATAATAATAATAATACTAACTAGATACTAAGCACCTGATGTTGATGACAACCAAGGGAAGAACGACTGAAAGATGACATGATCTGGTGCAGTTCATTGCAATTCTCTTTCTCAGCAACCAACATAAAGGTTTGGAGGTCAGGATTACTAGATGGTTTCTGAGGTATAGCGTAAAGGCTCAGTTTCCAGCCAAACCTGAACTTAGAAAAAAGCAAACCTAAAAGGGTAGAAAGCAACATGTATCTTAGCAAAGGCAGTGATTAATAAAAAAAGTAGGATCAAAATACAAAGAAAAACAAAAGAGCAAGTAAATGAATAGTTTTCCTCATCTAAAGTCCATCTCCACAACAAGCACATTAACTTTATTAATATATTTTTAAAAAGAAACTAAATTAAGAAAAAGCAATAGAATGTAGAACAAAATTCTTTTCGCATTAAGTTAAAGTAAACTGTACCTAGAACATGAGATTCTGCCAAGGTAAGACAAATGAATTTACCCCCGGATTTCAAAACTCTTTTCACCTGATGATCCAAATCAACTTTTATGAATACAACAGAAAAGTTGAACCTTCTACAACAATGAAAGAATACTGCCGAGTACATAGGACAAATTATGGATTAATAAGATAAATCAAACTCCGCAACACCTCTGATAGATATTGATTCCCCAGCTTACGGCCAAGCTCCGGCTCCATCAAAGCATCCAGTCCACCTTTGTCGAGAACAACATCAAATGTATCATCGGTGAACTGGTAAACATAGTTATATCAGATAAATGAAAAGTAAAAGAACAACCACAAAGTAAGGAAGTGGGACATCAATCAGGAAAAGCCTCCTTCACCCACCAAGAAGCATATCAAGTGAAAGACAAGTTAGCTAGTATAGATAGATCAAACAAATCCAACATAAAATTAAGTTACAAGAAGAGACTGCTAAAATGACACAACCATATATCTTAGCACTATGCAAAAAGTTGATACCAGTCGATGTTACTCAAACTTCCCATCACAAGAGATATATTACTCTTAGGAATTCAGGCATCAATAAGGAGATGGTTAGGAGTTATGAATAATGGTAACCCAGCAGTTATTTAGCTTGTATTTTGTAAACCAAAACCACCCAATCCCACACACATTTGAAGGAAGTTTTGCATAATCTCTAACTATCTCTGTCCTAAAATGCCCACTATTAAATAATAAGAACAAACCGGCATACAATTTCTGAATTTATTCATTCTACAACATCAATGCCCCGGATGTTAAAATTTGAAACTTCAACTTGAAGGTCTTAGATTGAAAATGCTACATCAAATTATTGTATTCGCGTCACGGACTTCCACGTCTACCAAAAAGAAAAAGGAAAATTTTATAACACCAAAACTCATCACTTATCAAATAAGACTCCAAGCAAATTCAAAAACTACCCAAGTTGAAAAAATGAGAAGAAACCTGCATTTGGGTCATGTCCATAACCCGCCAACGCATGTTGGGCCGTTCCCTAACATTACGTCGAAGCATGTCGGAGATGACAACCTTTGAGAAATCAACATTGGTTACATCTTCGAATCCGGCATCGTATAAGTGCTCTGAGAGGCGAGAGTTGCCGCAACCAGGCACCAGTATTTGCAAAGAAGAAGAAGAAGAAGAAGAAGAGGGTGAAGGCTGCTGCTGCTGCTGTTGTTGAAGAAGAGGGAAGAGTGAGTCACGGAGCTGAGGCCACTCAGCGTACCACTCGAACGAGTCATCGCTGCCTCGGATAGTAAAGAAGCTGTCCCAGTTTTCTTTGCTCGTGAAGTCTCCAAGAGTTTTGACAAGATCGTCGGTTGAGGCTGATGGTTGCTGGGTTTTCTTCTTACCCATTTTCATCTTTGATGTTCTGCGTTTTCTCTCTGGGGTTTCGGCCTTTGGGGTTTAATTTCGAAGGGCTGTTGGAGGGTATGGATTTTTCCGTTTCTCTTTCATGCTTTTGTTGTTATACTCCACCATGTAAATTCTACGACTTTAGAAGGTGGACATGATAGAAAAAATGAAAATTTGGAAAAAAAAAAGAAAAAATAAAAAAAAATTGGCGTGGTGAATAAGAAAAATAGAAAGGTAGATAAAAAAATATTCACTTTTCTTACATTATTAAGAGAAAAAATTAATTATTTTATCGTTGTGCTTCTGTAAATTAAAATAAAAAAATATAAACTTTAAAAGTTTTTTAAAAGTATTGACTTACTCCCATCTCACTTCTTTTGTTTTTTACAGTTTTATCGTTTTTTATCTACAGTGGAGCCAAAAAAAAATGATTATAACTTTCTAAGGACAAGCAAGAATTTGGGGAAAGGCAAATGTCATTTTTAATAAGGGTACATAAAATCAATTTTAATTAATTATTTATTTAAATTAAATATAATTTAAGTAAAATAATTTGATTTAATTAATTTATTAAATCAATTAATTCAAAAAGTTGGATTTAATTAATTTTTTTATCAGTTTTCAATTTTAAAATTTTTGGATCAATCTACCAACAAATCAAATTAGTTATATATATATATATATATATAATATTTTTTATATATATTAAAAAGAATTAATAGTAAACTTAATTAATAATATACTTAAAATATATTAAGATATTATATATACATATACAAATTATAATTATAGTAATTTAATATTAATTATATATATTTATTTATAAATATGTATTAATATAAATTTATAAATTATATATTTTAAATAATATAACTTATATGTTAATATTATAATATATGATAGTAAATATTTTACATATTAATATATTATAATTATTATAATTTAATATAATTTTATAATATAAAATATTATAAATATATAATTATATAAATATATTATATATATTTAATTTATACATAAATATTATTATAATTTATAATAAACTTGATTTAAATGATTACATTTGATAAATTTATTAGTTATCATATTAGATTTTATAATATATTATTTATAATTAATTATTATTTATATAAATTTTGATATAAAATATTATAACATATAAGTTATATCATTAATTTTATATATATAATAAAATTATATATTATATATACATATATTTAATTTATATATAAGTATTACTATAACTTATAATAGATTTTATTTATATGATTACACTTAATAAATTTATTAGTTATCATATTAAATTTTATAACATATTATTTATAATTAGTTATTATTTATATAAATTTTAATATAAAATATTTTAATATAATTTATATTATTAAATATATATAATAAAATAATATATTATTATACATATATTTAATTTATATACCTACATCACTATAATTTATAATAAACTTTGTTTATATGATTAGACTTAATAAATTTATTAACTATTATCTTAGATTTTATAATATATTATTTATAATTACTTATTATTTATATAAATTTTGATATAAAATATTATATTATATTATATAAATTATATCATTGATTTTTTATATATAATTATAGATAAAGTTTATAAATTTTAATATTATAATTTATAAAAAATTAAAATTTTGATTCATTAATTTAAAATAAGATCAATCAAATTAATTTTAGGTTTAATCAATTTGATTTTTTTTTATGTTTGATAAATTTTGATCCACTTTTTAAAGATGATCAATCATTAATCTACGCTCACCCCTAATCCTTAGGTCTGCAAACATGACTCTTGGCAATAATCAGCAAGTTTTAATTTGTATCTCCTTGGCTACTTCCAAAGAGTGAATTCATTTCCTGGGATTGGCTGAGGAACGAAGATGGTTATCAAGATGAACAAAATCGCCACAACAGTTCCTTCTTCTTCTGCTTTTGCTTTCTCTGGTAATTCTTCTCTGGTCTTTTCTCTTTGTCAGCTCTCAGAATGAGACTCTGTTTCCTTTCTTGTTATTCTGCCTCTGCTGCTGTTGTTGATGATAAAATTACCCAAAAAGGTATTATCAGATGCATGCATTTGGAGAATTTAATCTCTTAACCTCCTAGATGCTGTGTGGCTCTTTGGACTGACACTTTCCTTTTATACGGGCATTTAACTATCTGCTTGGGGCTGTCTTCAAGATGAAACATTATTCTATTGTTGTTTCCATGTGTAAACAGATGATTGGTTGTCAGTAAATTCAACTTGATATCTTTACAATGAACAATTGGCTTAATAGCTTGTGCAATTTGAAGCAGGTAGACTTGGCTTTCTCTGTGTTGGCAATGATTTTTAAACTAGTCTGCTTGTACCATGAGTGCTCCCCTTCTTGGGATTTGCAATGAGAGTAAGATTAATGAGGCTTTGGAATTGTTTCAGAAAGTTGTGGAGAATGGATATCCATGTGATCAATGGACTTGCAATATTATTATTAGTGGACTTTGCAGATCGGGACAAACTCGTTTTACCCTTGATATTCTAAGAGTGATAAATGAAAATGGAAGTTTCAAAGCTGATGTAGTATGTTATGGGATGGGACAAATATTGATGGCTTTTGTAAAGAGACAAGTATAGAACAGGCCTTGATTATATTTCAGCATATGCTAGATAGGAGTATCTAGTCAAATGTTGTTGTTTATACTACTTTAATTTATGGATTATGTAGCACTGGCAAGTGGGATGAAGCAAAAAGATTGTTGTCTCACTTGGTTATAAGTGGAATTTCTTTGAATGTATACACCTTCACTTCTCTAATTGACTCTCTCTGCAAGGATGGGAACATCAAAGGAGAAACTTCTTTATTCAATTTAATGACTCAAAGAGGTATAAGGCCAAATGTCATAACTCATAATATCCCCATGCAAGTCTGGTGATCGGAGACAGCTCATAAAGTTCTTCGAAAACATGGTTGTTTATGGAATCTCTCCAAATGTTGTAACTTTCACTATCATGATAGATATTTTATGCAAGGAAAAGAAGATGGTAAAGGCATTAGACATTGGGGACTTGACAGCTCATTAATTCGAAGATTTTGTTATTCATGCTTATGGAAAGAATCAACAAGCTTGTTCCACAGAATGATGGGTCGAGGGATTCATCCCAATGAAGTAAGTGCAAACAAAAGAGAGTGAAAGAAGCATGTAGAATGTTAAAGCTAATGAGTGAGAGTGGTCTAAAACCTGTTATTTCATACAGCGCTTTAATACATGGATTTTGCCTTTCAAGCCAATGGAAAGAAGCAACAAGTTTGTTCCACAGAATGATGGATGAAGGAATTTATCTCAATATGGTAACTTTCAACTCTTTAATTGATGCTTTCTGCAAACAATAGAGAATGAAAGAAACCCGTAGAATGTTGGAGCCAATGAGTGAAAGAGATGTAAAACCTAATGTTATTACTTATAGCTCTTTAATACATGAATTTTGCCTTTCAGGACAATGGAAAGAACAAACAAGCTTGTTCCATAGAATGATGGATGAAGGACTTCATCCCAATGTAGTAACTCTCAGCTCTTTAATTGATCAGCTTTGTAAAGAAAGGAGAGTTGAAGAGGCCATTAAAATATTCAAGCTAATGAATGAAAGAGATGTAAACCCTAATGTCATCACTTGCAACTCTGTATTGGGTGGTTTCTTCCATTCAGGCCAATGGAAAGAGGCATCAAGCTTTTTAAGTAGAATGGCCAGTCAAGATATATGTCTGGACAAAATTACTTTTAACATTTTGTCGGATGCTATCTGTACAAAAGGAAAGATGGAGAAAGCTGAAGAAGTACTTGCGCTAATGAATCAAAAAGATGTAAAGTCTAATGAAATTACATATGTTACAATAATTAGTGGATATTGTTTGCAAGGTGAAATGGACAAGGCAAAGGTTGTCTTTGAGTTGATTTAACAAAGGGATTTTCACCTGGTTTAGGCGCCTATAAAATGCTGATCAATGCATATTCATAGGGGAAGAGGAAAGATGAAGCTCTAAGGCTCATTGAAATGAGTCAAAAAAGAATGAGGCCTGATACTATAACACAGAATGCTAAGAGGCTTCACCAAGGTATGAAGGCAGTGTTGGCCGAGTGAAAATAACTTTAACCTTTAAATTCTCTAATGTGACTGTTTCATGTAGTGATTGTTTTCATGCAACTTTGATATCAATCAAAACTGGAGGCATTCAATTTTTATGTTTCTTTTGCCTGTGCGATCAGTTACAATTAGAATCTTCTGCTTCCCTTTCTCCATAAAGGAGAAAAGGATCTTGTATCTTTTTTAGTAAACAGATTTTTGTCAAAGAGGCAATCAGATTTCATCTATATTCTTTCGTATGATAGTTGAATTGATTTTAAAGATAGTTACTTTCATTTTTCCACCTCGGGTGTGGCATTATTGTACAAGGATTCTTACTTCTTTCAAGAATGGTAACTACCACATTCATGCACAATTGTATGTCACATAGCTTGTGCCAAATTTTGACTAGAAACAGTTACTTTACAGGGATTCCTTGGGCCATCTTTAATGCTTTTGCTTTCTAAGGCAGGCAATACCACGGGTTTATCCTTCAAGGAGATGCAACTATGCATTAATTTGTTTGATCACTTCTGAAGATATCTATTTGAATACTGATTAAGAATGATAAGATTAATGGTTTACCTAAATGGTTGCAACCCCTCTCTTTCCAAATTTTCTTCTTTTGAAGTGATTATGCTTTTATAAGCTTTTGGTTTCTTCAGTGCAACTATACTGACTTGTGAGTCTCATTCCAGATTCATGCATCATCATTTCTACAATTATTATTTCATTATCAGGAGCTTATCAGCTTGTATGATCATTACTATCCTTGCTTGACATTCTTTTCAATGTGCAATTTTGATAGTATTGCCTGAAGCTACTTGTTATTATGGCTCATATAGAAGGGATTTTCTGTAAAAGTGTCACTCATGGCATGCCTATCATGTGAATGTACAATGCATGTATTTGAAGTTGTTTATAAATGTGATCTGACCTGAGAAAGGGTTTAAATTACTTTGGCCAGCAATCTGGGTGAACAAAAAT